TTGACAGTGTATAGCCCTCCCTCCTTTGGTTGCCAATAAAAGCTATCCTCCCTATCAGCTAGGCTCAGAGGAATAGCTAAAATTTTTTGTGCATCATTTCTATTGAAGTATCTGAATATGATGTTTCTGTTCCACCTATGCTGACTAATAAGCTCCTCCACCTTTTCCAACTCACAATGATTCCCTCGCCTAGTAGTTGGCTTCCCTGTATCAGTGTCTGGGATCCACTTGTGGCTCCAAATATTTGTACTCCGTCCATTTCCTATCCTTCTAATCATACTAGCATTGATTAAACTTCTTGCCCCCATGAGTCCTTGCCAAATCCAGGATGCATTTTTGGGGAGGCTACACTGTAGTATGGATTCCTGTGGAGAATATCTGGATTTCAACACCTTACTAACCAACAGATTTGGTTTAGTAAGTATCCTCCAAACTTGCTTTCCTAACAGCACTTGATTGAAAGCTTCAATATCCTTAAAGCCTAGACCTCCTGCACTTTTTGCCATTGCCATTCTTTCCCAAGACAGCCAGTGCATTTTGTTCTTACCATTAGCTTCACCCCACCAAAAGTTGGCCATCAATGCACATATATCTTTACACAATCTTCTGGACAGCTTGAAACAAGACATCACGTATGTGGGCATTGCCATTACAACTGCTTTCAGCAACACTTCCTTACCTGCTGGACTCAATAGTTTGTTTTTCCAATTCTGGCATCTTTTCCTTATATTATCTCTCACAAAACCAAAGATCTGCTCTTTAGACCTTGATACTACCATTGGAAGTCCCAGGTATTTGCCTTGCTTAGCCTCTGCCATTCCTCCTAAGGCCAGGCATACATCCTTTTTCTGCTCATTGTCCACATTTTTGCTAAAAAACACTGCTGATTTGTCCAGATTGACTAATTGTCCCGAGGCATTTTCATATGTTTTCAGCACCTTCATAATTTCCACAGCCTCATTCTTATTAGCCTTACAAAATATGATAGAATCATCCGCAAAAAACAGATGTGTTAGCACTGGACCGAGTCTGCTGATTTTGAGTCCCTGGATCCTTTTTCTTTCCTCAGCCCTTCTTAACAAATTGGAGAAGCCCTCTGAACAGATTAGAAACAGATATGGAGACAAAGGGTCTCCCTGTCTTATCCCTCTTTCTGGTGTCACAAAACCTTTAACCTCACCATTACAGTTGAAAGAGTAACTCACTGTCTTCAAACAGCTATGAATCCAGTTAATCCATTTAGAGCAGAAACCCATCTTTTCCATCATTTCCAACAAGCAATGCCACTCCACCCTATCATAAGCCTTTGCCATGTCCAATTTGATAGCCATGTAGCCCTCTTTCCCTTGTCTTTTATTTTTAAGAAAATGCATGTACTCATGAGCAATGATCACATTATCTAAAATATGTCTTCCTGGGATGAAAACAGATTGAGTTTTGCTAATGCACAGGTCCAGGACAGATTTCAGTCTATTAGCCAAAATTTTTGATATGATTTTATAGAACACACTGTATAGACTGATAGGCCTGAAATTTTTCAGAGTGGTTGGGTGCAGAATTTTGGGAATAAGGGATATAACAGTGTGGTTAACTGATCTGAGCATATGACCTGAGTGAAAAAAAGCTTTAATAGCTAGAATGATGTCACTTTTAATAGTATTCCAGAATTTTTGGAAAAACAATGGAGTCATTCCATCCTGTCCAGGAGCTTTTTCTGGATTCATAGAAAACAAAGCATCGTGGATTTCATCCTCCATTACTTCCTTGGTTAACTTATCATTCATCTCCTGTGTAATATAGTGTGGAATTCCCTCTAAAATTTCTGTCATTTCGCCCTTCCCACCACTCGTAAAAAGGTCCTTAAAGTACTCAGAAAGTTCAGTCACTACCTCTTCTTCATTAGCTGTCCAAGATCCATCCTCTCTTTGTAACTTGTTTAATCTATTACTCACACACCTCCCCTTAACAAAAGAGTGAAAATATCTAGTATTTTTATCCCCTTCTCTCAGCCAGCTGATTCTTGACTTCTGGCTCCAGAAAGCTTCTTCCTCCTTGTAAGCATTAGCCAACTGTCTTTTGAGATCCTGACATTCCTCTTTTTTGTTAGCTAAACCAGCATTCCTAGTCTTCTCAAGATCCTGCTTAAGGCCTTCAATCTTACTCCTAGAGTTAGCCTGGACATTATTTCTCCACTTCAAGAGTTCAATTCTGCAATTCCTAATCTTTCTAGTCACTTTGAACAATTTTGATCCCTGTTCCTCCCAATTCCAGGCTTGCTCCATTACTTGCTGAATCCCCTCTTTTTGGAGCCATCTCTTGTCAAAATAAAACCTCTTTTTTTTTCCTTTCTATCCCTGGATTGGTGTCTAATAAAAGCATCGAGTGGTCAGAAGCTAGAGTCTCAACGTGGTGACACTTAGCACTCTCAAAATCTTGAAACCAATCCATACTAGCCAAAACTCTATCTAGTCTTTGGCGAATTTCCCCTTCATTGTCCCAGTGATTGCTCCATGTCCAAGGGTGGCCTTCAAAACCAATATCAACTAGTCTGTTCAGCTCAATGAAATGTCTAAAGTCCCTAAAACTTCTCTCCTCCCTAAACACACCTCCCCACTTTTCTTCATTGGACAAAATGTCATTAAAATCCCCAGAGATCAGGTATTTAGGTCCCCACAACCTACTTCTATCAGTTAGCACCCTCCATTGTTCCTTCCTGATCCTTTGATCACAACTAGCATACACTCCAATGAACCACCATGCCGCCTGAGCTTCATTACCTTCAATCTTAGCTTCTATAGTAAAAGCAGTAGTGGCCACCTCTACAATTTGTGTATCCTTAGTCCAAAGAAAGGCCATCCCCCCTGCTCTATTCATAGCTTCCACAGTCACATTGTTGTCTAGCCTTAACCTTCTAGTTATTCTATCTATGGCAGTCTTCCTGTTCTTAGTCTCACTTAGGAAGAAGATATTTGGAGAGGAGAGGTTATTAACCTCCCTCAGCTGGGGAACTGTCAAGGAACTCCCCACCCTTTGGCAGTTCCACACCACTACTCTCATTTACACCTGGAGGTCCCATTAAGGAAGGACCTCTCCTCCTTTTCCTTAGCCCCCATAAAATACAGCTCCTCCAATTGTTTGGTTTTTTTCCACTGACACATATCCTGATATGCTTCCTCCATCACTTCATCTCTAGGCAGGATCTTCCTCTTCCCCAAGTTCACCTGAGAATTTTCATTGCCTTGTATCATCTGCAAAGGTCTTTTGGTTCTAACTGGAGTCTTTAATTTTCTAAAGGTTCTCCTGGTTTGTCTGTCCAATAACCCCACCATCTTATTTTTGCCTTGGGTTTCCTGGTGAAACACTACGAGCTCTGATTTATTCTCTAAGACCCTTGACTCCTGGATTTGGTTGTTCACTACTTCAACTACATCCTCCTCCATCTCTTCCTCTACATGAGAAAGCTGGAGGTCATCCCCTTCTTGATTAGTCTGAGGTTGCTCTAAGTCCTCCTTGTCACCTATCACCTGACCCTCTATCCTATTATGGGAGACTACCTTAAGAGACTCCTGATGAGTAGAAGGTCCCACAACCCCCTCTATTCTATTTTCCTCCCCTGCTCTTACACCTTCCTGGTTACTACACCCACCACTGCCAGTGGCCTTGAGGACCTCCAGCAGACTCTGACTGCTATGCCTTTTAATTTTCTCCTATTTGACCAACTCCCCATTCCTAAAGGACCAGTAACGTCTATCACTATGCTCAGAGACTCTAGCATTTTTTTCTGAGGGGAGACCCTAATATTTCCAGCTCTCATCCAGGGACCGTACTGATTCTCATCAGTACTCCCTCCTAGCAATCTCCTTTCTTTGCAAGACCTTTCACTATGTCCCACAATTCCGCAATTATAACAGAAATCAGGACACCTTTCATATTTGAAAGCTATCCATTTGTCAGTTCCTGCTATTCTGACCACAGTACCTCTAAGAAGAGGTTTAGAAAGATCAACCATGACTAAGACCTTCAGATGCCTACCCTCTTTGCCACCCACCTGAGGGATTACGACATCTCTAACTTCCTTAAACACTCCCCCTATCTTTCTTCCAATCTCCCTAGACAACCAATGAACTGGCAAATTCCAGAGCTGCACCCAAAGAGGTGCCGTCACAAAGGCTTTATAGTCATCTTCGATGCCTTCAACCCATCTTTTAAGAACTAGCATTTGGTTATCTATTACCCAAGGCCCTCCCTCCACTATTCTATCTTTATCTTCTGAGTTTTGTAGGTTAAACTGAAACACCAGCAACAAATAGTAAAGAGTCAAGGTCAAGCTGAAAGTGAATTTCAATTCCAAACATCACAACGACTAAAGAACCTTATAAATAGAAAGGTGTCGACAAGAAAAAGACTGATGAGAATGCTAATGAAGATAGGGATTAGCAAACTAACCCATTATTATTATATATATATATATATAATAAGTAAGAGATTGAGACTCTTATGTGCATTGACAAAAATGCCAGGCAACAATATTTTGTCCTTCTTTTTTATTTACTTTTGTCAAAATTGAGCATTTGTCCTCCAGGAGATACCCGTTAGTATTTGTTTTAGCACAGGTTTTTGTCTTGTTTACCATAAGCGCTATTTAAGATTGTGAAAATTCAATTATGCTGGAAGATTGCTGTGCGCTCCAGTGGTGACTTTTTTTCTTAAGTATCATTTCCGAAGTTGATGTTGATTTTTAGCTTTTCGAATCAAATTTGGCTATTTACTTTTCCCTTTTTATCTTGATACAAAAATCTCTATTTCTTATTCAATTACTGATTGAAGGATTTGCAGTACTCTCGATTTTCCAGTAAAAGGTTGCCGCTGAAGCTCAAGTGGGTACTCCCTTCTACTTAAACAAAATTTTGGCCTTTCTTTGTTTCTTCGTTTAGCTTTATCATTTTCCTTAAATAATTTTAGGTTTCTTCATTGTCTAGGTCTATGCAGCTGCTACTGTCTTTTTTGTACCATTTTTGGAGAGGAAGGGAAATTTCCTGAGGTGAACTTCAATTTCATTATTTTTGGGTTGTTTTCTTGCGTTGCTTAGGTACTTTCTTTTAACCATGTAATGCATCAAAATTCATAAAAACACAATAATTTTACAGAAATTTAAGGAAAGTTTCATGGTTTTAAGTATCTTTCACCTTGTTTCGCTTCCAATCTATATATATATGGTATATCACCCTTGCTGGAAGTCATAAAACATTTCCTGTTTTGCGTTAAAATATTTGGTTATGGGTTCAATATCAATTTTAGTGATTTTGCATAAGTATACTATAGGTTGTAAACATTTTTTGAACTCTATTTTTAATGTGGAGTTAGTATCGAAGGCAGTGTAGTAGAGGTAGGTTTTGCATGTTCGTTTAACAATTTGTATCCTTTCATGTACTAAGTGATCCTCCCGTGCATGGCAGGTTCAGATAGATTCCGTAACAATTACTTATTAAGCTTCATTTATCCTCTTATATAGGTCATGCAAGCTGCACAACTTGTTAATGTGCCAGATTATCACTCTATAGACAGAAGCTCAGCTAAAAGGACATTACAGATGTAACTAACAAAGACTTCGATGCAAAAAAAAGGTTTCATAATTTCTTCATGTTATGTCTGTTGATAATCAAACAATTACAGCTCTTTGATATACAAAAGATTGGTTTGCTGTTTTTTTTGTTTTTGTTTTTTTTCAAAACATTGATATGTTTGGAAATGACTTTCGACAATAAGAGAACACCCCCCTTTTTAACACCAGTCATTGATATCTATTTTTATTGTCTCTCTGATATAAGTTTTTAGTATTCCATTTTGATGGCTGAACATTTTTTAATCTGTAAAAAGATTGGAAATGATTCAGATAGTTTGTCTTCAATTGAGTCAAAAAGTGCATTGGTTGGAAATGAGCCAAAACATGAAGGGTTATTGTCTGTTGCATCCTCCTCACATGGCAAGCTGCTGAAGGTTCGAACTGATACTACTAAGCTTTTATTCTTGCAAAACCTTTTCTTTAAGCTAACAGTATTGATTGCAGTTGTACTATATGTTTCAGATTGCAATGCACAAATACATAAGGAGCTATCCAAATGACTAAAAGCCTTTTTAGTGATAGCCTCTGGAGGTATCTCTTGCTGAATCTGATCAATTTGTATATCAATAGGTAGCCTTCTGTTTTGCCTTGTTGCACATTTTGCCACCATTAATCTGTTGTTCTGTTTAGGACATAATTTACTTTCTTCATTTATTTTTCAGAACTGGTGAATTGAGCTGCTTTTCATTTTGAGTTTGAATGAGAAACTTTGTTTTTATACTTGTTTAAGTTACTTTAAGTATCCAGAAATGAGTGTGAGAATTACATACTTGTTATCATGTCTCTTCAGTATAGTCCAAAGTTCTATGTTTTGTCAAGTACATTAGCCAACAATTTTTTTTTTCAGATTCAATATTAAATATATGTCTCAACGAAAAGTTACTTAGATATTCCTATCAATTGACTTTCTTCTTGATTAATGTGCATGTTAGATTGAGTATGCTTCTGATCTAATGCAATGCTTTGAAAACTAGCCTTTAAATCAAGGAACCTAAAATAACTAATATTTTTAACTTTAACTTTCATTAACTTTGGTGCAAATCTGTCAAATCTGTCTTTTTTTCTTTTTCTATTAATAATGGTGCGTTTGTGATTTGTTGTTCTGGAATTAGCAAGCTTCAAATATTTTGCAAGAGTTGATCAACATTAATAATGATGCAAAAGTTATATAAGCAATCCAAGATCAGGTCGAAGATGATAAGGCTTTTTTTATTGAACAAACAGTAGTAAAATCTATTTGTGGAGTCTTTGATCACTTGTTTACTACTCAAGTTGGCACTCCAAATGAGCAGCTTCTGCAATTCATCTCTGTCATGTTCCTAAAACTTAGTAAGTGTGCAATTCTTTGATTCTTGCAAAGATGCAATCTACTGAGTCTCATAGCTTGATAGAAATAAATTTATCAATGTGATAATTGAGAAGTAGCTTATAGTTATGAGCTACAGGTGCTTGATAGCGTCTAACTGAGAACACATTTTTTTGCATGTTTTCCTGTCAGAATGGTGGTTTTTTATTGATTTTCTTTTTAATAATTTCACTTTGGATATTTTTGTATGACATCTACGTTGTTTACTCGTTCACTGAAAAGATTTATATTAGAAGCGTACAATTTGATATCATCCTGAAATCCCCATGTGATTAGTTTTTCCGCCCATGTATCTCAGCAAAATAATTGAGACCGCCCATGTATCTTACAATTTATTTTTCTTGGCAGTTCTTATCATTTTCTAAATTTCTGTCTACAAGCATGCATCTAATTTCCCGAGACTTAGAGTTGTTTCCGTATGTTTCTAAGCTTGACCCAAATCCCATGCATTTTTGAAATGGCCACCTTAATGACTTCGGAGCTGTCTTTCTAAGTAAAAATGGTTAAGATAAGATGAAATTTGACTTTTTCCCCCTTCTAAAATTTTGTTCTGTATTGTTCTATTGATTGAGAAACATATTAGTGCCTGACGAAATTATGCACTCTGTTTTGAGATAGCAGCATTAACTCATTATTCTGCGGCAAATGTCTTGTACATTTGCACTGGTAATTAGCTCTTCTAATGCATGTTTACATGCTATGCATACCCAAATTTTCTTCATAGTGTTTACTCCGAAATGCAACGTAATATGTGATGTTTGCTTGTAAGAGAGGTGCTGCACTTTTATTTGAAGAGTATAGTCCTCAAACTCGCTCAAACGATGACTAATGATAGTCGTGTTTCTGACACAATACATGTAAGTGTACTTTGGAGCTTCTAATTAATTAACTCTAAAGATTTTGAACCTATCCTGTGGCATGTCATCTTAGACAAGTTGTTTTTGATATGATTCATAGCCTCCAAAAGAAGTGCATTCTAATTTGGTCTGGTTTGTTGGAGTCTCAAGATTCTCCTAACTTCAACTTTTATTTCTTTCCCTTTTTTCTTTTGCTTCTTTATAGGGGATTTTTTTGTAAAATTATTTTATTGAGCTACCAAGTTAATGTAGCATCAAAGATTTCATTGGCAAGTTACTTATCAAGTTATAAAAAAAATGCAATTATTTATTAAATAACCAAATTTAATTTTAATATTCATTCGTTTCATGAGTATTTCTTTTCAAACAAATACATAATTGCACCTGTATGATTCATCTTCATATCTTGCTGTCCTGTTTAAGTTTGCATTACTGTTCATGCCTCCGATGCATGTTCTTCCATTCTTTTTCTTCCATTTTTATGTCAAACCTACGGTACTCATGCACTTAATTGTTTTTTCAAAATTTTAAGAGTAACAGGTTTATTCTACTGATTTCATGAACTTGCAAAACACAGAAAATTCATAAATGCAGGGAGACTATCATAAAATTCATAAAACAGAATAAAGGAAAAAAAAAGTAGGGAAAAAACACAATAAATGCAGAAAAAGTGGAAAAAAGTACAGGGGCAAGAATCATAAAAAGAGTGGGTAAGGAAGAAAGACGCAGCTTGTGTAAACAATGTCCAGCACTTGGAGTATTAGCCTTTAAATCTTGGTTCACTACAATGAAAATCTCAAGCAATGATCAATTACATTATTGTTATCCTCTAGGCCATTATATCGAGCTAGCTTGGGTAATGTGCTTTGCTTAACCATTAATCTCCTATTGGGAGTCGAGCATTTAAAAACTGAGATGAGTTTTGCTCTACTCATCAAAAAAAAGAAGAAGAGGAAAGCAGCTTTTTGCCACATTTGTGTTTTAGAGTTCATAGCACTGCGTGCATCAGATGATTTCATTTGATACTGAAACTATATTGGTATTTCCTTTTGAATTTAATGTATCACATCTTGCAAAAAATGATGCATAGTATTCAGTGCAATAATGGGACTTATTGGTGACCATTTCAGCTGCATGTCTTCTGAATTTGCAGCCCAACTCTTCATTGACTATGATCGGATTGATGAGATGCCACTCACTTGTGTGTCCAGTTTGAATCTACTGCTATTAAATGAAAGACATAAAACGATCGAGTTGTGCATGATATGGGTAGAAGCATAACTGGTTCCACGTAGTTTCTAAGTTCATTTAAAGGTAGCAATTTACACTGCAGATTTGTTAGCCTATTATTCTACAAAATGGCTTAGTGATCTAGAATTATATCATTGCAAAGAATGATTTGCTTGTTGAAGGTACTGACAAAAACATCTAGCTTCTTGTTGAAGATTAGAACATCTGTGACATCTAAGTTCCAGTTTGTTTTCTTTTCGCATTTTTGGAATGAGTTTAGTTTCTTGAGTCACCAAATTTACAACATTTTCATGTTCTTGACAGTGGATCCTGTTGAATTCAAAGCCTAAATTATTGACTTTGAAATAGCCCATATTTGTTGATTTTTGGCAAACATTTCTTAGTCCCACATCGGGTAGCTTAGCATTTGAGAGGTTGCTTGAGTTATAGCTCTCAAGCCTCCCAATTGATATACCAAAAATAAAAGAATTACACCAAAAAAGATTTTGTAATTCTTTTGAAATTCTTTCTTCTCCTAAATTATAAGAGCAGGTCGCTTGAGTGGTGCTCGGAGATTAGGCAAAATTTACCGAACTCCGTTATCAATTTTTCGGGTGCGTTCTTTCTTTATCTCTTTTATTTATTCCGCACTTATTTAGTAGTTTCTTTTCTATTGTAGTATAGTATTCAATATATTTGTCTACATTTATCGGGTTTATTTGTAGTGTTTTATACGGTTCATTTGGGTGTATTTTTCTTATTCGTGTGTACGTAATATTTATGTATACACGGGTCTAGTTGTGATAATATACCGTGCACGTAAATTCTGTCTAGGAGACTCAGTTTTAAGTGGGACCGCTTATGACCCCTCCAGTCTTTCCTGGAAATTTACTTGAAATGGTAATTCTGTCTAAGGAGATTGTTTCGACGATCTTTCCTGAGAATTAATGAATCGGTTTAATCACTAGTTGTATTTTTGAATGGGAAATTACCCGATTTTCCCAACAAGTGGTATCAGAGCCGAAAGTTTGTCCTTTGGCTTGTTTGTAGTTTGTTATATTGAATACTATCATTTGAATCTGTAATGGCATCTGACAATTCCACGTCAAGAATTACATCTAGGGCATCGGCTTCCTCGTCTACATGGTCGAGAACTCTAATGTCAAGTTCGAAGGTGGCGGTAGAGATATTTGACGGTACTGACCATTTTGGCATGTGGCAAGGCGAGGTCATAGACTCTCTTTTCCAACAAGGTCTTGACATTGCCATTGAAGAAAAGAAACCAGATGACATAGAAGAGAAGGAGTGGAGTACCATAAAACGGTTGGCATGCGGAACTATTCGATCGTGTTTGTCCAGAGAGCAAAAATATGCTTTTAAGAACGAGACTTCTGCATGAAAATTGTGGAGGGCATTGGAGGAGAAATTTCTGAAGAAGAGTGGTCAGAATAAACTCCTAATAAAGAAAAGATTGTTCCGATTCGATTACCAACCAAGTACTACTATAAATGAACACATCACTATATTTAATCAGTTAGTAGTAGACTTGTTAAATTTAGATGTGAAATTTGAAAATGAAGATTTGGTTTTGATATTGTTATCATCCATTTCTGATGAATTTGAACATTTGGAAACTAGGTTACTTCATAGGAAGGAGAATGTGTTTTTAGATGCTGTATGTTCTACTTTGTATAGTCATGAATTGAAAAAGCAGGATAAAATAAAAAAGAAAGTAGCTACAGCAGATGAAGCGTTAGTGGCAAGAGGTCGTCAACAAAGCCAATCAAAAGGGGAGAAGAGGAAGGTCCAAATCGAAAAGCAGAGTTGCCAAAGATGAGTGT